GAAAGAAAGAAAGAAAGAAAGAAAGAAAGAAAGAAAGAAAGAAAGAAAGAAAGAAAACCTTTACCTCAAATGCAGCGCAGGACTTGATTGGGTAGAGGTAAAGGTTGGTGATGACGTGTGGCCCAGGTTCCCCATCCAGGACTTCTGGAGTTTTCTCTGAAGAATTCTGCTGGGTTCCAGTGGCCTCATGCAAACATGGGCACCAACGCTAGGCACCAGTGAGTGAGTCATTCCAACCCCCGGAGTCCATGGCAGCATGCGCTTCCTGAGCCTGACCCTCTGCTGATAGGGCTCCGGTGTCCCCAGCTCCAGCCTGAGGGACAGGCTGACCACTGGATGAGTGCAGGCGGGTGGCTATGATGAACCTGAGAAAGGCCTGGGCGTCCTCAAGTGTGGACATGTACCCAAACGAAATCCTCACAGATCCTGTAGGCTGCCCATCTATGAGGTCCACATTGTCACCACAGACATGACCAGCCTAAAATAAGGGGGAATGGATCAACCGGAGTGGTTCTTTTCTCATAGATAAATTAGAAAAAAAATTAAAAACAAATTGTGTTTATTTTTAAACTAATCCAGGAAAACAGAACTGCAATGCCCTATGTGCTATGTCTGAGACAGTGCCATTATGCATACTCAGGAGCCCATGCTCTGAACCTGTCTTTACTCAACTGTAAATGGGGGTAAGTCCAAACCTTAAGAGCCTTTAAAAAGTTTAACAGGGGACCGGCAGGGAGCATGGTGGTTGAGCACTGGATTCCTACACTGTTGACCACGGTTCAAGTCCTGGACCCGGCAGCTTGCTTTTTTACTTTCCCTCTCCCTCTCTCCCTGTATCTCTCTCTGGTCAGATTAAAAAATAACAATAAATAAATAAATAATTTTTTAAAAAGTTTAACCACCACTCTATTACCTGGTAGTTAAGGCAGCCAGATCCCAAATGGCCAACCCCACAGTTCGAATCCTGGATCCTGCAGCTTGAGAAATACACCAGGTGGGTGTGTGTGCATGCCCCAAATTCCAAAAGGATTAGAGGAGAAACGATTGAAGCATGGTCACACACACACACACACACACACACACACACACACACCGGTGGAGTCACCTTCTCACTTTCTCTTTCTCTCTCTTTCTCTGGCAAATACACAAACATTCTCTAACCAATTAAAAAAAAAAAAAAAAAAAGAAGTTCAACAAATTCAGCCACCATGGCATTGCAGCAATGCAAGGACCCTGCTCGGCAGAAAGCCATGTGGCTGGAAACATGTTGAAATCCTCAGGTCAGCTGGAAAATATGTTAGGCATGTACATAAGCCCCCGGGATCCTGAGGAGGCTTGGAAGGTTGGGGGAAAGGATCATGGCATGAGACCCTGTCAAAGTGCCTCTCTCTCTCTCTCTCATGTACTATCACACTTCAAAAATAAATAAATAAATACATGTTTAACAGAAGTATTTCAAGGAAAGCATCTACCCAGAGCCAGATGTAGTGCAGGCCACAGAGGGGCCAAAAGACACCAGAGTTTCAGAAGTACCAAAGAGTCAGCTTCATGGCCTTCAGGACTGAGATGGCAAGAACACCACTGGACACTCCCCTTCGCCTCTCTGTCCTGAAGGGAGGCCTGCGTCCCTGAGGGCTACCTCTTGACCAGAGGGAAAGGCAGAGATGCTGCCCCTGAAAATAACCACCCCAGGCCCCTGCAAGGCCAAAGTCAGCCTGAGTGCCACGCAGGGAGGTAGGAACAGGAAGAAGGATTTTGGTGTCCAAGCTCGGCCATCCTGGACACATCCGCAGGACTCTAGACCACTGGTCAGTAGGGTGCATTAGCCATCCTGGACACATCCGCAGGGCTCTAGACCAGTCACCAAAGAGATGGAGCCATGGCAACCCCCCCCCGGTAAAATATCATATCTGGACTCCATTAATTTGTGCTCTACGCCTCTTTTTCTCTCCTTTTCCTCTCAGTCCCCCTCTCCTTCTCTCCTTTTTTTCCCAGCGCTCTCTCTTTTTAAATAAAATCCAGACCATCATCAGTCAGGACCCAGTATACACAATATTTAGTGGCAATTAAAAAAAGAAAAGCTTTTCCAAAGTAGAAACTATTCCAAAATAAATAAGGGCTCTTTGCCAGTCAAACTATTCTCATGAAATGATTCAAAACTGTCTGTGCTCTGAAGTGAAAACCTCAGTGCAGGGAAGAGACAAGGAAGGGGGCGATCTGGGAAACGCCCCACTCCACACCCAGCCCAGAGGGTTGTGCCCTAGGAAAGCAGAGCTAGGGAAGGGAATGTACCAGCACACCCTTGATCACGCCCCTCTCTGTCTTCCCGTTTCCACCCTCAAAGTTAAATGTGAATCAGAAAGTACTGCCATAGAAATAGAATCTTGAAGAGTTTTCCATTTGTGCTGACTCTCCTATTTCCTCTGTACATCCACAGAGGAGGTGTGGAGAGATGAGTCCTCAGGACCACCCTCCCCCGACACGCAACCCACCACTAGTGCAGCTGGTGGCATCGACAACAGCACTTCGCCAACCCGCATCTTTTTTTTTTTTTTTGAGAGGTTTTTCACTATAGGTGCTTGCGCTCACCAGACAGACAGAGAGAGACAGAGAGACAGAAAGCAAGAAATCACCCCCCAGGGGGGATGGTCACGCCACAATCCCTTCTCCTCCATTCTCCTCTCGGGATCTTGGGCACGCACGCACACGCGCCCGGCGTGAGTTTTAAGTCACCCGGTCCAGGACGCGAACCACGGTCGACTACATGGGAGTTCAGCAACATGGCCATTACGCTAACTGCTGGTTCCCCCAACCCGCATCTTGACCCCTGGTTCCTGTACCAACCTGGTGATGCTTCTTGACCATCTCATTGCTTATCCGCAGGTGTCTCTGGCAGGCCCCAGTGTTACAGAAGCAGCCAGTCCGCACGTGGATGTTGTAAAGACTGGCCATCTTATCCACCTGTGTGTTTAACATGACATGGGAACACTGTTGAAAATGTCCAGTTTTATTCTGATTGCCTGGGAGAAAGTTTCAGTTCAGCATTTAAAACTCTCTTTCCTACCTATAAAATGTTAATATATGGCCAGCCCCCTAGTCTTCAGGTTAAGGGAGCTGGATCCCACATGGCTAACCCCAGTTTGAACCTTTGCCATGGCAGGTTAAAAAACACACCAGAGGGGGACCAGCAGTTGGCTTAATGGCTATGTCACTGGACTCCCACATGGTTGACCACGGTTCAAGTTCTGGACCTGGTGGCTTAAACTCACATTGGGCGGGTGTGTGTGTGTGTGAGTGTGTGTGTGTGCCCAGGATCCTGAGAGGAGAATAGAGGAGAAGGGATTGCGGCATGGCCATCCCCCGGGGGGTGATTTCTCGCTTTCTGTCTCTCTGTCTCTCTCTGTCTTTCTGGCAAGTGCACGCGCCCTATAGCAAAAAACCTCTCCAAAAAAAAAAGCTCACCAGGGATTAGCTTGTGTATTTCAAACCTCAACAGGATGGAGAAACAGAAGAAAAGGGATTGCAGAGTGATTATGCCTCATTGGGGGGGGGGTACTTTCTTCCCCTCTTTCTCTCCCCCTCTGTGTCTCTCTAGTAAGCACACTCACCCTCTGGCAACTAAAAAATAAAAAGAAGTTATTACAAGCCAGAAATTCTGTGCTAAAAATGCCATGATCTGTCTGTGCTATTTTCTTGTGTCTTCCCTCACTGACAAGCTATCTGCTGTCTCCTTCCACTGCTGTCAGAACTGGCCTGTTTCCGCTTGGAATTTACCACTTCTAGCTGAGTAAAGAGGGGTGGAGGGGACTGGCAGGTGGCATGTTAGTTAAAGCACTGGACTCCCACATGGCTGACCACGGTTTGAGTCCTGGAGTGCCTTGGTTTCTCACTTTCCCTTTCTCTCTCTCTCTAGTTAAAAATAATAGTAATTAATAAAATAAAATCATGTTAAAAATAACTTTTTAAAAAGAGACAGATGTAAAACTAGATAGCCATGGTTGTTGGAACTGAGGGTAAATGAGCTTTTACAATTCTGTGTGTGAGGGCCGGGTAGCCTCTCCAACAGGGCGTGGGCTTTATCCAGAACTCATAGGTCCTTACTGCAAACTTCAGGGCTCAGTAAGACTTCCAAGTTCCAGACAAGTACAATTCTGTTGTAAAATGTCAATAAGATGAGAAGAAAACCCACCTGGGAGTAGCCAATGATGTTGCCGTTGTCATCTAGCACATTAAAATTGATGATTGGACCCTGAGCCTCAGGGTCACTGAACCCTGAATCATTGTAAATCTGCACGACAGGAGCTCCATTGGGGTAGCGGAGAGAGGACAGGGCAGTGTAGGTGTACTGAGCCAAGGTGAAGGTGTGCTGCTTTATATTCTCCATTCCACCTCAAATCCAGTATGAAATGCAAAGAGGATCATGCATAAAATTATATGAAATCGTACATAAAATTACATACAATTCACTCACTCACTGTTAAGAAAACGAGCTCATATATGGAAATCTAGAACTCATATTAATTATTTGAAATATCTGTTAATAGTGCATGGTACTGGGGCCAGCAGGCAGCATGATGATTAAGGTGCTGGATTACCATCTGGCCAACCGTGGTTAGAGTCCCGGACCTGATGGCTTGCTTTCTCACTTTCTCTCTCTTTCTGTATCTCTTTGATCAAATTAAAAAATAATAATAAGCAAAATGAAATAAATAATTCTTTAAAAAAAAAAAAAAAGTAAATGGTAGTGCCCTTATAACAAATGGTTAGGTCTTTGGTACTGAATGACAGTTTTCCACTCCTGTTTCTATGGAATTTCCATAGACATTCTCGTCATCCTCTTTTTCTTCTTTCAGTACTGTTATTTACATTGTTATATTCATACAATTTAGATTTCTTGGTAACCAATCACAGAAAGATACAACTTTTTCTCTCAACGTATCATTATAAATTTTTTTTTACTCCTTTATTTTATGATAGAGCACACACACAAGCATATGGGAGAGAGAAAGGAGCCCCTTCCTCCAGTCCTTGGGCCCACGGGATCCCAGATACCTGTGCACAGGCCTTGTGCAGACAGACCTGTTTCTTTGGTTGCTTGTTCTTGGTAATGTTTAAATCATGTGCATATTATACAAAATAATTAAGGATATGTGCTTCAGACGGATGAAACTTGAAAGCATCAAACTAAGTGAAATAAGCCAGAAATGAAAGGACAAAAATACCATGTTATCCTCTTAATGAGGGACCGAGAACAGGCAAACTCACAAAGACAGAAAGTACTGGGACGTCAGAAAAGTCATGAGGTATTTTTCTATGTCTTTCTATGCAAAAATGCATTGTGACTTCTCCAACACCCCGATAGAGGTTTCTAAGAGCTGGGGGAAGATGGAATGGGGAATTACTCTTTCCTGGGTAGTTTCCATTTCGGATGATGAAAACATTCTGGAGATTTACAGTGGTGATGGCCACATGACCCATGAATGTGTTTACAGCCACTGTGTGTACACTTGAACATGGCTAGAATGGTATGATGTTTGCTATGTGTTGTATATTGCATTAACCACAATTCTTTTTCAAATTATAGACTGGCATTGTCAGGGTTCATTCTGAGGAGCCCCTGACCCTGGTATTCCCTAACGCCTGCATGCTGGGTGCCTGGGTAATACCTTTCCTTGGAAGGTGCTCCTTTCTCACTGTTCTCTGTGCTATCTCCTCCCTCTGTCCTGGGTGATGCCCACACACTGCCACCAGGTCAGCCCTCTCTTCCCAGGAATCCTGTCTGCCCCAGCATTAGGCTAAGGCTGAGGGCCTGAAGGGTCTCCTTATTGTGATGACAGAGAGGAAGGGCTGCCTAACTGCTGAGCTGTGCTCTTGGTGCACCAGAGTCCTGTCCCCACTTGGCTAGTACAGGCAGCAACCCCAAGTCCAGAAGCTTAGCCTCCGGCAGGGCCCCCCCCAGGGACACAGCATGCTACGCTCTTCTGGTCTTGTACCTCTGTGTCCTGTCTCAGCCTCATGAGGTGGGAAGTTGCACGTGTCTGTGTATCAGACCCTGGCAAGTGCCCCTGCCAGCTCATGCATGCCATGCACTTGCCAGGATGAAAGGCGTGCTTCATGCCAAGGCAGTCAGCAGAGACGATGCTTGGCCCTGGGGTTAAGCATCAGCATGACCTGGGTTTGAATCCTGGTAGTCCCAGTTACCAGCTTCCTGGGAAGGCAAGTGACCTGAACACCAGCTCCTTCATGGGCAAAGCAGGCCCATCACGTAGTGGGGCTACAGGAGGGTCCAGAGAGGTGAGAGCTGAATAAGGCCTTGTGATCTGTAACCATCTCCCGTCCAGGCACCAAGGACTGCTCGTCCTTTTCTATGGAGCTATGAATCTCCCAATTTAGGATGTCTTCTACCTGTTAAAATGTTTTTTCAGCTGATATATAACAAATAACCTGGAAAACCCCTGCCTCATTCTCTTGCTCTCGGAAGTCCCTTTGAAGTTACTGAGAATCAGACATAACTATGTTCAGTGCTCAGCAACCATGTGACACACCTTTCACAGACTCTGAATCACACCATGCCAGGGCTCCCTCAAGGTCACAGGCTACCAGAGCAAATTCCCCACGGTTAAAATGTCCACTAACCTGTAAGGCGCTCCAGGGCATCAAATCCGTGTTTTAGCGCTATAACATCCAGGAACGAGATGGTGCCATCTTCAAATCTATGACATGGTGAGAGGGACAAGGCCAAGCTGTGGCTGACACAATCCATGTGCACTTACGGCAGGTAACAAGGTGTGGATTCGGGGCTTAGCCACAGCCTGAGCTCTATAAAACTCTGCTCTCGGCCCCAGGAGAGGGGGCTTACGTACCAAGGCCGTCTGGCTGCCTCTGGCTCTGACCCACTCTGTAGCTTTGTCAAGTTGCTCCAAACTTCCCAGGGAAGTCTGGTCATGGCAATAAAGGGCCCTAACATAGTCACACCCTCAGACATTTATGAGACAAAACCTCAGGTCTCATAAACTGTTGAAATACTGCCCTCTGAGCACAAGAGGACACCACTGGGAGGGTACCAGTTCAGCGTGATCAACCTTGCAGTTAGGAGATTCTTAACAGAGAGTCTACCATTCCAAAGTTCATGGGACCACAAGTTTTTGTTCAAATTACAAGACTTTCATTAATACAGCAATGCATGATTATCAAAGTGTTATATCTGTATTTCATAATTATTCAGCAAATCTAAACTGCTCGACCTACTGTGGTGCCAGGCACTGTTCTAGGTGATAGGTACAGCAGTGAACGAGACAGGTAAAACCCCTGCTTCCCAGTGCTTACCTTCTCCTGAGAACACAGACACACAGAGCAAAACCAACTCGCACACAGAGAAACCAAACAAGCATGCAGCCGGGTGGTGGTGAGCACCACGGAGAAGATGCGTAAGCAGGAAGGGGAAGGGACCGGCACCGCTTTAGATGAGATGGTCATAGCAAGCCCTCTCTGAGGACGATGATTCAACCAGATACCAAAAATGTCAGGGAGCAAGGCAAAGAGCTAGTTTTTAAATCAGCCAAGTTCAAAGCTTCCCAGGAAACCCACATCCAGGAGAGGGTACAACGAAGGCCCTGAGCAGGAGACCGCCACACGGCAGGAACAGATCAGGACTGGACAGGAGCCAGCAAGGGGGACGGGGCAGGAGATAAGAATTGGAGATGCAGGATCTTCTGAAGTGCGGGAGAGCTCTGTACAGAGAAGTGACACAATGGAACCTACCCTTTAGTGAGAGTCACTTAAACAAGGGGGTTGCCATGGGGAGAACAAACTACAGGGGTGAGGGAGGAGGCCAAGGGATACGGAGGAGGTCTCCACAGACATCCAGGTCAAAGACAGTGAGCAGGCTATGAGAAATAGTGATTGACTGTTTAAAAAAAATAATTGGAATAATAATAACAATGATTGGGAAAAATAATGAAAAGATACTGAATGATGAAGTGGGGAGATTAATGTCTCTGTATTGACTGACATGCATGGCATTCCCTCTTGAAAAAGCAATGCAATACACTATAAAGTTATATGCAATCCAATGTAATATAAACAAGATTATGATTATGATGATAATAAAAAAATAAATAATTTTTTTAAAAAAGACAGTGAGCAGGCTTATGCAAGCCGAAGCTTTCGATGGGAACACTGTGTTTTGTATTTTAATAACACTAAGATTTCCTCAAAACATGGTTATTGCAGTGTTAAATCCCTTGTTGATTAATCACTAATGAGTTAGCATTTTTTAAAATTATTTCCTTTATTTTATTTTTAACTGGACCAGAGTAAGACGTACATAGAGAGAAAGAGAAAGCGAGAAAGCAAACCGCCAGATCCAGGACTTGAACTGTGATCAACCATGTGGGAGTCCAGCACCCTTAACCACCACACCATCTGCCAGCCCCATGAATTAGTATTAGTCAAGTAATTATCAACTATTGATTAATTGATTTAGAAATTAGCATATAACCAATCATTAAGTTATACTATTAGCTAATAATGACTTAACTGTTAGTTGGTCAATAATAATCTTTTCTTTTATTTTCTTTTGAGAGGTTTTTGCTATAGGGTGCATGAGCTCATCAGAAAGTCAGAGAGAGACAGAGAGACAGAAAGTGAGAAATCACCCCCCAGGAGGGATGGCCACACCGCAATCCCTTCTCCTCCATTCTCCTCTAGGGATCTTGGACACACATGCACAGGCGCCTGGTGTGAGTTTAAGCCACTGTGTCCGGGACTCAAGCCACAGTTGACTACATGGGAGTCCAGCAACATAGCCATTACACCAACTGCTGGTCCCAAGTAATAATCTTATCTTTATTCATGAGACATGTGTGCACACATGCAAGAGTGATAGAGAGAAAGAGGGAAAGATAAAAACTCTCCACAGGGTCTGGTCACACTGTGTTGCCTTTCCTCCAGTATCCAGGCCAGAGGATCTTGGGGATCCATGCCTGTGCTCAGTGTGTTTCAGACTGATCGGACTGGGAGTTGGAACCATGGTCACCATGTGGAATCCAGCTTCTGTTGAGCAGTATATCAACCCCATGCCATAGGGCTGGTCTAGTAACTATTTATTAATCAATAATTGATTAGCAAATTCAAAATGAGAGGGTTTGTTTTTTTGTTTTGTTTTGTTATTGTTATTGTTTTTTGTCTCTATCAAGGGTAATATTTCGCTGGGCTGTAAAATACAAAAGTTTAAGAATACGGTCCAGGTACATGGGACCAGCAGGGGGTGTAATGGTTATGATGCTGGACTTCACACAGTCTGCCGCAAGTCCTGGACCAGGTGGCTTAAAACACACCAGGCGTGTGTGTGTGTGTGTGCACGCACGCACACACGCACACACGAACCCAAAAGCCCGAGAGGAGACTGAAGGAGAAAGGATTGCAGTGTGGCCATCCACCCGGGAGGTGATTTCTTGCTTTCTGTCTCTCTTTGTCTCTCTGGTGAGTACATGCACCTTACAGCAAAAACGCTCTCATGGGGCCAGCAGTTGGTGTAACGGCTATGTCGTTGGACTCCCATGCAGTTGACCACAGTTTGAGTCCCGGACCCGGTGGCTTAAACTCACGCCAGGTGCGTGTGCATGCATACCAAGATCCCGAGAGGAGAATGGAGGAGAAGGGATTGTGGCATGGCCATTCTCCTTGGGGGAGACGGGGGGGGGGGTGATTTCTCACTTTCTGTCTCTCTGACTATTTCTGTCTTTCTGGTAAGTGCATGTGCCCTATAGCAAAAACCTCTCTAAAACAAACAAACAAACAAAAAAAGCGCTCTCTAAAACAAACAAAAAGAATGGAGTCCAGGTACATGTTTAGGTTGAGTATTTTTTAGAGAGATATTTTTGCTATAGGGCGCATGTGTTCACTAGAGAGACAGAGACAGAGAGACAGAAAACAAGAAATCAACTGCTATCAACTACATGGGAGTTCAGAGATGTAACCATTAAACCATCTACTGGTCCCAAGGTTGAGCATATTTTTTAAAGAAGTATTCATTTAATTTTATTTATTATTATTATTTTTAATTTGAGAATGATAATGGTGGGGAGGGATGAGAATGCAAGTTGCCAGGTCCAAGACTCAAACCGTGGGCAGCCATGTGGGAGTCCAGTGCCTTAACCACCTAGCCATCTGCCAGCCCTAGGTTGCATATTAAATCTCTTGAGTCCAAGGACCAGCAGATGGCGTATGGTTACATTGCTGGACTCCCATGTCATCAACCACAGTTTGAGTCCAGAACCTGGGCAACTTAAAATTCACACCAAGTGGGATCGGCAGGTGGCGTGGTGGTCTCCCATATGGATGACTGCATTTCGAGTCCTAGACCTGGCAACTTGCTTTCTCACTTTCTCACTTTCCTTCTCTTTCTCTCTCTCACTCACTCTGGTCAAATTAAAAATAAATAAATAAAGCTAAATAAAATAATTCTTAAAAACAAAAACAAAATCATGCCAGGCATTTGTGGGTATGTACCCAAGATCCTGAGAGGAAAATGGAGTGATTTCTTGCTTTCTCTCTCTTTATCTGTCTGTCTCTCTGGTGAGTGCACAGGTCCTATAGCAAAAATTTCTCTCTCAAAAAAAAAAAAAAAAAAAAAAAAAATCTTGGGTCCTAGTTCTAAATTCACAAGGAAAAGCTTCGATTTATAATAGCAAATAAGTATATTCTGCTTTCTGGGAATAGTGATTTGACATACACTGTAAAGTAATCCACCTGAATCAAAGGAAGGAGGTCTGGCCCAGCCCAGTCCACCCATCCCCTGACCCTTGATGACCTGCTCCCTTCTCTCAGCCTTTGGTGTCCTTTTGGCCAAACTAAGTTTGAGGCGCCATTTTGTTCTGCCTTTAATTTACATCATGTTGAGCTGCCTGTCATTCTTTCCAAACTTGGTTATGTCACCTGGTAAACTACCACATTTGGGTTCAAAGGTTTTACACTAGCATATTGTTTTAGAATTCCCCCCAACTGTGGAGCCAGCTCTCAGCCTACCTGTTAAGGAAGGCGGATCCCACACGGCAGACCATGGTTTGAGTCCTGGCCCCCAAAAATACACTGGGCATGTATGTTTGCATACCCAGAATCTTGACAGGATGGAAAAATGGAAGAGAAGAGATTGCAAGGTGATCACGCCCCTTTAGGGGATGCTTTCTCCCTCTGTCATACACTCTCTCTCTGTCTCTGGTGGGTGCATTATGCCCTCTGTCAATTTAAAAAAAAAAAAAGAATCTCTCCACTATAGAAAAGTCCTAAATAAGAGAGATATCAAGGGGGCCAGACAGTGGCACTGTGTAACACAGCTGGCTCTGTGAGGCCTCTCACCCTTCTGCTCACAGCTCTTCTCTGCAGGCTCTGGCCCTCCCGCAGCTCTGGGGAAGCCCACTGGGAAGCCCACAGACCTGAGCAGAGTTCACAGAGTCGCCTGCGACACACTGCAGGTGACCTCTGCCTCCCAGATCTGAGCCCTGCCGCCAGCCTGTACCTGCCAACAACATCCAACTTCTCTGACCTCAGGGCCCAGACCACCCCTTGCATAATCCTGCAGGTCACACATGTCAGCCCCTGGCCTTGCTGAACTCTAGCCAGCCACTCCCCAGGACGAGGTTACCTTTCAGCCACTGACTGTCTCGGGATATAGAAGTCTTCTCCTGCAAGGTAGGCAGCGGCCGTGCCTCCTCCAAAGTAGGTTTTCTGCAGAAGAGGAGCCACACTATGACTAACCAGCAGAGCACCCAGGCCAGTGGGGAACCCGAAGATCTTATAGAATGAGATGGGGACAAAGTCAGCCTGGTGAGTGGACAGGTCCAAAGGCGAGGTGCTCACATAGGATGCTGCGTCCAGCAGCACAAACCACTTCCCTGGAGTGCACAACGGGTTCATCCTCCTGGACTTGACCTCTTTTATCCAGGACAGGGGGTATCTTGTTCCAGAAAAATTACTCTGAGCCGGGTAACAGAAGAGATGTGGAAGCTGGCAGTCAGAGTCATTGGCCAAAGCACCTTGTTTCTCCACCAAACAGATGTCCTCTGGCCTGACAGGGGTGGACATGACGTTCCTGGCCGTGGTCACCTTCCTCATGCCCACCACGGAGGTGTGGCTGTCAGTGAGGTACCAGAACTGACTCCCGCTGCTCTCCAGGCCCCAGGACACCCATGGAAAGGCCTCAGCCACCAGTTTGAGAGCAGCGGTGCTCCCAGCTGTGAAGATCACACTGTAGTCATCTGGAGAGGTGTGAAAGTGTGCCAGGATCCTGCAAGAAGCACAGCATCACTGCACCACCTTGTCTTAGCTCCAGCACCTACTAAACATGGCATCTCCATCTGATAGCAAGGAAAATCCAGTAGGCTTTGCCACGACTGTGAAGGTGGAGCAGGGGCTGAGGAAGTCATGGCAGGAGAGGACACATAGGTGGCTGTGACAAAAATCCACAACAACCTTAATCTTAGTTGAAAATACCCTCTCCCTGGTGTTTTCCACCCAGCTCTGTTTTAACAAGTTTGTTTAGTTTTGTTTTAAGAGAGATTTTTGCTACAGGGTGCATGTACTTGCCAGAGAGGCAGAGAGACAAAAAGTGAGAAATCACCCTCCAGGGGGGTTGGCCATGCCACAATCCCTTCTCCTCTGCCATCCTCTCAGGATTTAGAGCACACACATGCACCCAGCATGAGTTTCAAGTCACTGGGTTTAGGACTCAAATCCTACTTGGCATGTGGGAGTCCAGTGATGTAGCCATTATGCCACCTGCTGGTCCCTGTTACAGTTCTAAGTTATCAACCTGTTATAAAATTGTTTTTAATGTTGGCAAGCCTAGAGCAAAACATAGCACTTTCAAATTTTATGTAATTTGAAATTGTGTTAATTCAAGTAATATCACCTGGAAATTGTCAGAGATGCTTTATTACAGGGCTGGTACCATGGCCTGATGGTTAGGGGAGCTGGATCCCACATGCCCAACTGCATAGCAACTTGAAATACATGCTGGGACGTATGCATGCCCCAAATCCCATCAGGATGGAGAAATGGAGAAGGAACTGTGGCATGACCACACCCCATTGGGAGGCGTTTTCTACCTTTCCCTCCCTGTTTCTCTGTGGCAAGAACATGTCCCCTCTGACAATTTTTAAAAAATGTATTATTACATGTAGAAAATAAAAAGGATTGTATAACATGTAATTACCAGTAAAAAGAGGGGAAACTATGTGAATGAAACAAGACACTTAATGAAACATCTTATGAAAAGGAATGCCAGAGAAATAGTGCTTTTCTTCTTTCTGAAAACAAGACTCAAGAAACTAAGTCACTCCTGTCACTTGGCACCAGTCCAGAGCCACACAGAACAGCTCGGAGCCATTCAGAGCCATGTACCTGTGCGTCTCATTTGCTCCACTCCGCACCTGCTCACTCTCACCTTCCTGACCCTGATATTTACCCTCGTGCACATGTTCCCTTTCAGCTGAATGTGGCTCTCCTGAAACCAGCTCAGAACTGCTGTGGGATGCAGGCAGGAGCTGCCGAGGAAGTCCATCCACCTAAGAGGCCTTGGGCAGGTGTTCCTGTTGCTCACCTGTAGCGCACCTGCTCCACAGTGTCATGGGTGAGCTTGCTGCTGATGTTCTGGCTGTGAGGATTACCTGGCAGGTCACAAAGAAAAAGCCGCTGAGTCACTTCTAATGGTCTCTTCTTTTACGGGTTCCTTCAAAACCCTCTTCCTCGGTTTCTCAACATGATCCCGGCAATTCCACTCTTAAGTGTCTACCCCCCCAAAAAAATGAAAGGCCCATACAAAGATTTGCACGTGAATGTTCATAGCAGTTTTATTCATAAAGTCAAGCTCTTGAAACAACACAAATTCCCATCAGCTGGTAAACAGATAGAAAAAGTAAGTTATATCCGTACAACGAAAAAGTATTTTGGCAACCAAAGAAACTACCGGCTATGTCATAAGTGAACTTCAAAAGAAAGCTAAGTTGGGACCAGCAGTTAGCGTAATGGCTATGTCGCTGGACTCCCACATAGTTGACTGCGGTTTGTGTCCCGGACCCGGTGGCTTAAAACTCATGCCGGGCGCGTGTGCGTGCATGCCCAAGATCCTGAGAGGAGAATGGAGGCGAAGGGATTGTGGCCATCCTCCAAGGGGTGATTCCTCACTTTCCTCTCTCTGTCTCTGTCTCTTTCTTTCAGGCAAGTGCATGTGCACCCTAAGACAAAAAAAAAAAAAAAAAAAAAACTCTCAAAAAAAAAAAATGCGTGGTGGTTAAAGGTGCTGGACTTGCACATGGCTGACCACTGTTCAAGTCCTGGACCTGGGGGCTTGCTTTCTCATTTTCTCTCTCTGTCTGATCAAACTGGAAAAAAATAATAATAAATAAAGTTAAATCGAATAATTCTTTTTTTAAAAAAAGAAAACTCTAGATGCAAAAGGCCACGTATTGTACGATTCCATTTACATGAACTGTCCAAGGGGCAGCCCTGTGACCTGATAGTTAAGGTGACTGGATCCTACATGGCCAACCATGGCTCAACTCTCAACCCCTATGACTTGAAAAACATGCTGAGTACATGTGTATGCACACCCAAAGTTCTGATAGGATGGAGAAACAGAGAAGGGATTGCAGTGTGATCACATGCCATTAGGGGGGTGCGTTCCCTCTTTCTATCTTTCTCTATCTCCTTATCTGTCTCTCTCTCTAGCAAATGTATCTGCTTTCTGACAATTAAAAAAAGAACTGTCCACTTACAGGCAACCATATAGCAATACAAAAAATAGTAGATTAGTGATTGCCAGGATTGGCAACTGAGATGAACTATATACCATATGGCCGTGAGAGATCTCACTAAGAATAAAAATATTGTAACTGATTTGTAGTGATGGTTGTTCCACTTGGTGAAATTTCTAATAATCACTGAATTATACACCCCAAATAGGCGAATTTTATGATCCATAAAATATAACTCAATAAAGCTGTTAGAACATAATAATTTTTTCAAGAATTATTTAATTTACCATTATTATTTTCTTTTTAAATTTGCTATAGGGCATGTGTGTTCACCAGAGAGAGAGAGAAAGTGAGAAAGTAAGCTGCCAGGTCTGAGGCCTGAACCGCAGTCAGCCATGTAGGAGTCCAGTGCCCCAACCACCATGCCACCTGCCAGCCCCAAAACATACTAATTTTTAAAAGAGGTTTTTGCCTTAGGGCATGTGTACTCGCCAGAGAGAGAGAGAGAAGGCAGAGACAGTGAGAGGGAAAGTGAGAAATCACCCCCCGCCCCAGGGAGGATGGCCTCACTGCAATCCCTTCTCCTCCATTCTCCTCCTAGGATCTTAGGTACATACACACACACTTCCACCTGGTGTGATTTTCAAGCCACCAGGGGTAGGACTCACACTGTGGTCAGCCATGTGGGAGAGTCCAGTGACATAACAACAATGCCATCTGCTGGTCCCAACACACCAATTTTTACAAACTATCTTGTTGGGGCCAGACAGCGGCACAGCAATAAGGCAACCCTCGGCAAGGCTAACCAACATAGGAAGGTCCGGGTTTTCATCTGGCCCTCCCTGAATAGGTTGGGCATGCAGTGCCACATTCCAGGCTTTGCTAAAGCTGTGGTGGATCATGCAAGAAGACCCCATTAAGAGTGCCTGTCTCTGTCTCTTCCTATCTCTCTCTCTTACTCTCAGAAGAAATAAATAAATAAATAAATAAATAAATAAATAAATAAATAAATAAATAAACAAACGTCAGCCAGCCCTGTAGCCTAGCAGTTAAGGGAGCCAGATCCTACGTGGTCAACTGCTCCTAGCGTTCTGGCTACAACAGCTTGAAAGCCATGTGGGCACATGTGTCTGAGTGCCCAAAATCTCAACAAATGGAGAAATGGAGGAGAAGGGATTGAAGTCTCACTTGTCTCTGATGAAAGCATACACCCTCTGGCAATTAAACACTCTTCTTTAAAATCTCCACTCACTAATAAAACAAGATGGGATCCAGGAAGAGGAATTGGGGTTGGAAGTCAGCTCAGAGGCAGCCAGGGCAGTGCAAGAGCTTTTGTACAAGTCCCCGGCAGGGCCAGTGATCTGTTATTTAATGCCAGACACCACCACTTCATCTTGGCCCCCATCTGGTGCCTCCCATCACCGCTACTGGCACTGTTCTTGCCAAAACACATCAACTTCCCCTCCAAATAGGTGAAGGGGGCTATCATGCCTCCTCATGGCTGACCCAGCTCAAGGGCAAAGCCCTTCCCAGTTCCATTCTTCCCCTGTTGAGTTCTAGTTTGTCTCCCCTCCACGGCAACGTGGCAGCTCATGCTACATATTGCCAACCCCACTGCCACTCTGCAGATAGACTCCCGTGGCACCCGGCACCTTTGTTCACAGCCCTTCACACACTTGGCAATTACATGTATCTGAAAATCAGGTGAGAAAGTTCTTATCTTCCAGGACTAAACCACAGTCTCTACAAAGAAACGGTGTTTATTTTGTTCCCTTTATAGCACCATATCCCCACACCATAGTGGCTCAGTAAGTATGGAGTCAGTGAGTGAATGAATGAATGAATGAACTTGCCTCCTGCTGCCCTACCCTCTGTACTGTACCAGTCCCACCAAGTCACTTACCACCCCCAGATCCAGCACCTTTGTACCTCTGTGCCCTTCCTGACACTTACCCCTTCTCCTGGAAGGTCTAGGTGCATCCCTGAACCAGTTCTTCCTACCCCGTACATGTGTACGATACACAATAGCGTTCGCATACATGTTTGGGGTAGGGAGTAAACCCCACATTTATTAAGCATAAGTATGCTTAATACAGGTTAATGCAGTTGGCTTGAGTCAATTGGCACATTTTTCTTTACCATATACATTCTCCATGAGATCTCTAGTGAAGTTGGCAAGCTGGCTCTCGGGGAACAAGGTGGCTCCTGCATGGTCAAGGTAGACAGTGCCTGAAAGAAAACACAAAATAATGCTAGGGGGTTTTGTTCATAGGTGTTTCAGTCATTTTGCCTAAATCTGGTTTGCCTGAGCCTGGCCAGTTCCATTCGATGCATTCAGACGTCACACCAAGCCATGGGTTTCTCTGAGCCTCTTGATACATGCTTCTCACTCCGAGTGCAGGCATGAGCAATGGGAAGCACACTTCAGTGTTTAAGGACCTGAACACCCTCAGAGCATTTTCTAAAGAACCAGCTCCCTCAGCTCTCTCTTTGAACCTGGAGCAGCGGCCCATGTGGAGGAGTGACCGGCAGACATGTGCAATGTGTGACAGCAGACTGACTATGACACATGCCCTGTTCTGGGCTTCTGTGCAGCCTCCCTGAGGGATGAACCTGAGGCTGCTTTCCCACACTCTGCTCAGCAACCTTTAAGCCTTGAACACTGCAAGAGCTGCAAAGAATTTGAGAAATGAGCCTCCCTCATAAAGAGAGATGCAAATTTATGGTTTATGGATTAGACTGGCAGAGATCAAAAGGTTAAGTAGCTCACTGTGTGGGTGAGAGTGTGGGGAAACAAGCCCACAGGCACAAGGCTGGTGGGAGGGTAAACTGGAACAACTTCTTTATGGACAGCAGTTTGTCAATATCAATTGCCCTTTAAAATGTAGGCACTCTCTGATCTATCACTAGCAGTTCCTCTTCTAGGAGTTTATCTTATAAATATCTACACTATCTATCTATCTATATTCAGTGATGGGCCAGCCAGAGGTATGATGTTAAAATAACTGGAGCCCCCGCATGAAAGCGGTATAAGTCTCAAACCCAGTGGCTTGAGAAACACACTGTGTGTGTGTGTGTGTGTGTGTGTACTCAAAATCCTGAGAGGAGGGAGGAATGAAAGAGAAGAAGGATCAGCAGTTGGTATAACGGTTATGTCGCTGGACTCCCATGTAGTCGACTACAATTTAAGTCCCAGACCCGGTGGCTTAAACTCACACTGGGCATGTGTGTGTGTGTGCCCAAGATCCTGAGAGGAGAATGGAGGAAAAGATACAGAAGTGCAAAGGTACCAAACCAAAATAAAGGCTTTTGTTCACCCAGGCACTGAGGCCTTCCAGTGTGCATGTGAAGTCACAGTGCACGATGAGCACGGAAGGCTTCTGGGGAGCACCATGCCCCATGCCACAGTCTTCTGCAGGACTAGGAAGCTACTTGGAAGAGGGCTGCTTTGGCCTTTAGTCCAGTAGATGATTTTTCTTTTTTTCTTCTTTTTTTTTTTTTTTTTTTTTTTTTTTTTGAGAGGTTGTTGCACGTGTGCTCATCAGAAAGAGACAAACAGAAAGCAAGAAATCACCCCCCAGGGGGGATAGCCACGCCGCAATCCCTTCTCCTCCACTCTCCTCTTGGGATCATGGGCACACATGCACATGCGGCTAGCGTGAGTTTAAGCCACCGGGTCTGGGACTCAAAACCTCAGTTGACTACATGGGAGGCCAGTGACATAGCCATTACGCCAACTGCTGGTCCCTCCAATAGGTGATTTTTTTTTAATTTATTCATTTTCTACATTAATTCACTATACACCATCACAACACACAAATGAACTTTCCATCCAAAATACACTGTGCATTGGCTCAATCAAGCACATCAACATACATGTCCTCAGCAAATAATTTTCCAATTCTTATGTCCTGCATACCTTGCCTTTTGTTTTGCCATCCTTGATTCCTCATCCCCCACCCTCTGCTATGTCCCATCCTCCTCCCCCATTGTCCCTGGCATTCATGGTTGCCCTCCATGAATAGGTGATTTTTAAAATTACTTTATTTAATTTTATTCATCACCATTTCTTCTGTCATTTTGACCACAGAGCAAGAGAGACAGAGAAAGCAAACCACCAAGCCAAGGACTTGAACCATGGTCAGCCATGTAGGAGTCTGGCGCCTTAACCACTATACCACCTGCCGGCCCCCCAACAGATGATTTTGAAGGAAAAAAATGTAAAAGGCTGATAATGTTAGCTCAGTCAGAGAGCTAATCTTAGGAGGTCAGGCATCATAGTGGCTAACAGTATAGAACCCAAGTCAAGCAGCTTGAATTAAATCCTGACTCCACCACCTGGACATCTGTGGCCCTGTTTCTTCATCTGCAAGTGAGATGAGGATTAGACGAGTCAGTAACAATGGTGGCACCCATGCCCACAGGAAACACTCCACAGGTTTAGCCGTTATTAGAATTAGCAAGTGACCTCAAAGCCAATTGCTACCACATCTTCTTCAAGAAAGGGAATTCCAGGGTCTCTTTTTGGTCATTTCCTTTCCATTCTCAGTTCCACACTTTAAGGTGCCAAGAACAACTTGAAGCATAGCTGTATACTTTTTTCTTTTTTTTCATTGCCAGAGGGCTTGTGTGCTCACATGCTTTCAAGAGAGAGAATCCCTCAGTGAGGCATGGTTATGCTGCAATCCCTTCCATTTCACTTCTTCATCCTATTTGGATTTTGGGTACACACACAAACACACATGCCTGGCATGTTTGCCAAGCTGCAGGGCTGGGATTTGAACCACAGTTGGCCATGTGGTACCTGGCTCCCTTAATCTTTAGGCTATGGGCTGACCCAGCACTGTATATTCAACATGCTCCCTTCCCTACTACAAGAACATTTCCATATAAACTACGGGAAAACATTTCGGCACTTAAAAGTTAAACATTTAATTATCCAGAGCCACCACTTAACCAAGTAAGTTCTCAAACTGGCAGAAAAACTTCCTGTGGGGAGGGGAAGTAAGAAGAGGCGAAGGTTATATTTTTTTGGTTTGGTTGGTTTGTTTGTTTGTTTGGTGGGGGGGGGCGTTGGTTTGTTTTCTCTGCTCTCTCTTTGGTTCATTTGTTTTCACAAGGAAAAAAAAAAATGATAGGTTCCAAGACTCTCTCTGAAGTGGAAGGGCTGTCAGTCCAGTGCACAAAAATCTACTTACACCATGATGTAGATGACATACCAAGAACTTGCACGGAATAAATAAAAGATGTGCCCAGCATTTCGACAAACTGGCAGATGTTAGAGGGGCTTTCAAAGTCAGCTTTGGGACCCCAGCTCCCTCATCTCAATTCTGCATTTGAGGGAAAAGGTGATATTCTCTGAGGAACAGGCATGAAACCAGGAGGGGCCCAGAACACACAGTGCTTCTGCCTTCCCAGGGGACTCTGGCAGGGAGAGGTTGGCCAGTGGTGGGTGTGAGGGCTCAGAGCTCCAGGGGATTTAGAGGATTAAGGAGGTGTGGTGCTGAGACAATTACTGAGCAATACAGCCTCTGGGATTGGCGTCCAATGAGTGGAGAGCCTCCCTCTCTCTGCACCTGTGAGTGCCATAGTGTCTGTTACTGCGCGGTAGGAAATTTCCAGATAAAAAGTTGAGAGAGAGAGAGAAGGAAAAGGGTGTGGGGTTCTCTTCAGTAGATGACTCTGCTCAGGGAAGAACGTGAAAGGAGTGAGAGAGGTCCACAAAAGACCCCTGTCTCCCTCCGGACTCTCCCTGTTTAATAGAGAAGCGAGTGCACGAAGAGGTGGCCTCAACCTCAACCCCCAATGGGAAAAAATAGTTGCCATTCAAAATGTGAGGAAATGAGCCAAAGAGAGCTGAAATCAGCCCGAAAAGTGAAGCCTGTCATGGCTGCTGGCGAGTGTCACCAATTGTTCATTGCAACAGAATACCACACTGTAACCCGGGTGCCCGGCTTCACGATCTAGATCCGCTCGCTAGCCAGCTGCTCCTCCCTGATCCTCTGGCACAGGCTCTGAGGCTCGAGGGAGCCGCACACTCAAGGTCCCTGGTACAACGGTGGGTCCCGACCCTGACGCTTGCGGCAGTGGGCTGCGGTCGGCCATCAGCAGACTGAGCTTGATTTCCAATTACACGAGCTCGTTCCGCCTTCCGGAACTCAAGACATGATGTGATCCCGGTCCTCCTGTCCAAATGACAGGTTCGCCCTGTTCTCAGAGGTCAAATGGCACGATTTGCTCTTTTTTTAATTTTAGTCCCCTAGTGAACTAGAACTCGGAGACATTGTTCGAACTCTGCAGGGGTGAGAAAAATGAAGTTTCGAAAATAAAAGTTGCAGACTATCCCAACTGAGTCTGAAGCGCCGCCAGGCCCGGACCGGCGCCCACAGAGTCGCTGTTCCAACCCGCGCTCCGGCCGCCCACGCACCGCTAAAGTCCCTTGTCTCGCATCCCATTTTGCAACCCCGGCTCCAGCTGGACTTTTAGGAGTGTGGGGTGGGGTGGGGTGGGGGTTGTGTAGTCTCGCAAGAGAGAGCAAGGAGAATCCTAAACTTTGTTCATAGAGGACGAGGGGACGAGGAACGGTGAAAAGAACTAGGTTGGTCCTGCCCGGCTGGGAAGTCTAAGGCGCAACAGAGGCAAGACATCGTGGGGCCACAGGTGGACAGGGAGCAGTCCCCAGCACGCAGACGCGCCGACTTACCCTCCTGGCATTGCGACTCAAAAGGCGCCCCAAGTGAGATCGCGCGCTCCCACTTAGAGCAAAAGCCCCTTCCAGGGACCGTGAGCCTGTCTCACCTGCCAGGCGGCCGAACTCGCGTTCCCGCATCTCGCTCAGGCCGGGCGGGCCG